CGCTCCTTTCAGGGACGCCGTCGGTGCGCCGCGGTGCGGATGCCGCGGCCCCGTGGCGCACAGTCCCAGAGCGTCCCAGACGCCCTGGTCTACATCCCCCTTAAATCTGTCATACTTTGGCCACATCATAATAAGGTATGATTCGTTAGAAAAGACAATAATGTTAGGGAAAGTAGAAAGCAGCAGAAAGAGAGGAAGACTGCAGGCACTCAATTAGGGAGGTCATGGGCCTGAACTTATAGGACCTGAGCAAAGCGGCTGAGGACAAGGGCTCCTGGAGATGTCCTATCCACACAGTCACCATGAGTTGGGGTTGATTCAACAGCAACAATTTAGAATTCTGTGCCAGAGAGCTTTAGTGCCTGTCCAAATTACAAGTCTGAGGAATCCACAGGATGGCAGCCATGACAGTTACAGTTCAATCATAGTGCCATAATTGTACTGTGAGAAAATGCTCTAACATTCCTTCCCACATGCAGGTTACCTGCTGCTACATTTCTTTTCTTTCTAGTGCTGGTAAAAGCCATGTTAATTGTATTTAGATTTTTAAAAAAATCAATTGTGCAAACAAAAATACATCTTAGGCCTAAATGAGGGGTGGGAATTGTGTGTCTCTCCAAAATGTTGTCCAGCTTGCAGCTGCAGCACTCCTCACCATTAATTATGCAGGCTAGGTCTGCAAGGAGTGCCACACAATTCCCAATCAATTGGTCAATGGTGAAGCAACATTTATATAAATCCCGCTAATTCAATGGGTCTACTTTAGCTGGAACTAGCAATGGAACTTAGGTTCTTTCCACAAGGGTTTAAATGTTTTACAGATTAAACATTATTCCCCAAGCACCTGGACCTGTAGCTCCCTAATGGCTTTGGATTTATCTACACAGCTTTTTTGGCAGGACAGTAGGCTTTCCTGACATGTCTGCAGTTTCTCTTCAACTGCTTTCTGTATATCACGGGCATGTTCTAACTCCTTCAAGCAGGCCTCTGTCTGGTCCTTCACCTAGGCAGCCATGATGGAGGCAGGGAGGGGGAAAAAACAACAACAAGAAATAAAATTTCAGTCACTTTTGCACATTCTCCAATAGTCAAACTACTATAGCTTTAAAAACTGAACATAAGCAGAATAAACAATAGGTTTCCTACACTTACCGCATCCATTTCAAAATCCTTGACTTCCATTATCTTTCCACTGTCACTGAGGATCTTTTCATACCTGGTTTTCAGTTCCCCAGCCTCCATTTCTAATTTCACCACCTAGAATGACATATTTTAGAGAGATGTGGGCAATAATATGTGGGCCATAGGAAGTTTTTTTTGCAGGGAGAAAAAGCTTGATGAGGGTGTGCAGTAACCACTCTCCACTACACAGACCTAAATTCTAACATGTTAAGGCCTGATCTGATATAGTTTCAGAAAGATTACAGAAGTCAGCCACATAATTTACAAGTAGGCATGCTGGATTTTAAAGACAAACTCCAGAATAAAATGATAGAGAGCTTTGTGGCACCTTGAAGACAAATCCATTTTATTTTCATGGACTCCACCCCAATTCATCAGACTCATGGAGTGCTGCCTCAGTTGGCAGATTGTTAGTCACTCACACATGTGTATAATAATCTAAGGCAATGCTCTGATTAAGTGGGTGGTAAGCCATGAACAACCAAGTGTGGCAAAGTGGTTTGAGTGCTAGACTACAACTCTGGAGTCTGGGGTTCAAATCCCAGCTCATCCATGTAAACCCAATGGGTGACCTTTGGCAAATCACACTGTCTCAGCCTCAGAGGAGGGAAATGGCAACAAACTTTCCATGAAAAACCCATGACAGGGTCTCCTTAGTGTCACTGTAAGTCGGAAAAAACTTGAAGGCACACAATAACAACAAAATCCATGAAAGCATGTACCAAATAAAGAGTAAAGTCTTTCCCCCACCAGCGGCAGTCTATCCCTCCCAACAAGTGCTAATAACTTTGCTTTCCTCCTTTTCAAAATGGTGAATGCAATTATGTTCCATCACTTCCTGTTTCCATTTTGAGAGGGACTGCAGAGGAAAGTATTTGGGAGTGGTGTGGGGTTCCTGAGGTTGTGTGAGAAGTGTGATGTGTTTTCACACATTTGGGGAGCTTTTAATGTAGTTTTCGGGTAAGAACTTCCTGAAAATTGTGCCAAAACTTTAATAAAAATGGTGGTGGTGGGTGGGAGAGCTTTGTGGGCAGGGCTGTGGAGTCAGTACACCAAATTTTTGACTTTATTTTTCTACTGTATGACTCCAATTCCACAGTCATTTGTAGGACTGGTGAGAGGCTTTATTGGATAAAAAATTGGGGTCCAGGACTGCACTCTGCCCACTCCTGCTTTTTAAGTGATCCCTTAAAAGATTATCACAGCTACACTGCCCCCTTGAAATTATAATAATATTTAAGAGGCCTTTGGATGCCCACATGGCAATGTAACATGTTACAGGCTGCATCTACACTGCAGAAATAATCCAGTTTCACACCACTTTAGCTGCCATGGGTCAATGTTATAGAATCCTGAGAATTGTAGTTTTATGAGACATTAGCCTTTTCTGTCAGAGAGCTCTGGTGTCACAACAAAATACAAATCCCAGAATTCCATAGCACTAAGACATGGTAGTTAAAGTGGTGTCAGACTGGACTATTTCTGCAGTGCCAATGCAGCCATAATCTACTTTCTCATATGGACATCCAAATGCCTCTGGAGCATGATGGGCATGGAGATGAGAATACCATCCAGCAAAAGCCCAATATTATACAAATAGATGTATAATCTACCTCACATTTATATTGTTCAACCAGCATTTCTTGCTGCTGTGCCTCTTCATGTAAGTCTACAAGTTCTGCTTCTGCGGAAGTAATACTCCTTTCCAAAGCAGCAAGAGATGCCTGCAATAAGAATAAGTTTTGAATGAACACAATACAAAATGGTGTAATAGCACAATGAAACAAAACTGCAAATGCTTTGTATGGTATATAAAAATGATTTTAAAAATATAGCTTTAGATATAGATTTATATGTAAAAAAATTTAAGTTAGCATGTTTTTTCCAAATCTGTTTTATTCTTTCCTACCCACAAATATTTTTATTAAACAATCAAAAACAAACACAGACAAAAACACACACAAGGAAATAATACTTCTAACATGTATGTGTGTGTTGTGTGCCTTCAAGTCCTTCCAACTATATTGTGGCATGTGAACTCGACTCATGGTGACTCAGGGCTAGGTTTTATCAAAAGTTCAGAGAAGGTTTGCCATTGCCTTCCTCTGAGGCTGAGAGCATGTGACTTGCCCAAGGTCACTCAGTGGATTTCATGAACAAGTTGGGAACTGAACCTTGGTCCTCTGTCTTAGTCCAACACACAAATTGCTAAGCCACATACAAAACATTAAAAAAACAAAAATGACAACACCCCCCCCGAAACTGACTAAAAACAAAAACATTCCAAAACAAGGAGACAGTGGCTTCCAGCATAACTGACTATGGCTCCTCAATAAAACTATTCTAACTTTCTCTAACTTACATACCAAGACAAGGACCACAATCCAATGCAGATTTGACTTATAGGTTCCACTGAAGACAATAGGGAAGGCAACTGCAAATCTCCTCTGAACAACTCTTGCTGTCACTATAAGTCAGAGTTGACTTGAAGGCACAGTATAACAGCAAATAATCATAAAAATAACTATGCACAAATATTTCAGTGTGGTTTAAAAATATGAATGAGAAAGAAAGCTGAAATTAAGCCCTCTGAGGAAACAGTTCTCTTTTAGTTTAAGAACTGTCTGCTAGAAATGTGGGGCTAAAAAAGAATTACGGAGTCCTTTACTAAGGGAATGGCTACATATCGTAGAGTAGACTGATGATGATGTTACCTTTAATGTTGTATTTTCAAGGGAAATCGTTTCATTTTCTGAGACAATGGCATTAAGCTTTTCAATAATCTCGCTCCTTGACTTTCTCCCAGCGTCTTGAATTCTTTTGAGTTCCATCATATGGTCTGTGACCTGCCTTTAAGATTTCAAACACAACTTCTGTGGCAATCAAAACACATACAGCTATTTAATTAGGATTAACTAAACTGTGCTTTTCACTGCATCCTTTTTCTTTTTCAGCTTTTTAGAAATAATTTTGGAAGTGCATTTTCATATTTACCCCATACTATGGAAGCAGTATTTATCTGGAGGGAGAAACCTTCAGTTTTTAAAGTTAATGGTTTGTTAAAGGAACTGAAATAACTATAAATATCGTAATAGTAAGTGACTTGACTAGGAATTGAAGCAGTTTTATTCATGTGTCTTTCAATGATCTTCTCTGCCATCCTCCCAGGATGGGTCTGCACTGCCCAAAATACTCTGGGCTGCTCCTGATGTATACTGGTCCCAAAGATTCCCTGAATTCCTCATTACCTGAGCACTCTGGAGGGACACCAGGTAGCTTCTGTGAATCCTACTGGGCTGCCTGGCACCACTGCTGATTCCAAGAGTTGCTCCCTGTGATACCGAAAACAAGGTGCCCAGCATCAATCACATGGCTGGATGCCTTGTTGTCACCTCTCAGATGGTACGACTTGTGCCAGTTGTGTCAGGTGGCATAGCAGGATTTGTGCCAGTTGTGTCAGGTTGCACAGCAATGTAAACATCCACCTGGCATCACTCCGGAGTGCTCTGGACTTTCCTGGAAGATCTAAAGCAAAAGTTAGGTTTTTAAAAATCACTTTAAAGCAGGGATAGCCAGACTCAGTGCAGAACTGGCCTTCCCATATGAAGACAGTCTGCACTCAAACTGGATGATAGTATGCAGCCTTGCCTAACCCTTTTGCCAACTGGGAATCATTCTGTTTCTCCATATTCAGTTCTGATGGCATCCTCTTGTCCTAACAATTCGATGTAGTGGCACTCTCATTTCTTTGAGAGTATTCCAAAGCTTTTCATGGTCTATACCAGTGGTCCTCAAACTTGGGTCCTGAAGGTATTTTGGACCAACTCCCAGAAGCCCCAGACAGCTGACCAATATCCAGGAATTCTGGGAGCTGATGTGACAAACTTCTGGAAAAACAAAGTTTGGGAATCCTGGTCTATGCAATCAAAGGCTTTTGCTATAGTCAATAAAGCACATGTAAAAATTATTTTGGAATTCTCTGGTGCTCACCATTATCCATCATATGTTTGCTATGTGGTCCCTAGTGCTTCTTTTTTTCCTGAATAGAAGTTTGAGCATGATGTTGCTTGCATGGGAAATTAGCGAAATGCTCCTGTAGTCACTGCAATCTTTTGTGTCTCCTTTTTTGTGTATAGGAATGTATATTGATTGCTTCCAGTCTGTGGACCATTGCTTTGTTTTCTATATTTGTTGGTATATTTTAGTTAGAACTGGACTTGTTTTTGTCTCTGTGGATTGTAGCAGTTCTATTGGTATGTCATCTGTTCCTGGTGCTTTATTCTTCCTAACTGTTTTGAGTGAGACCTTCATCTTGCTTTCCAAAATTTGGAGTTCCTCTTCATAGGTTACTTCTTCCCATGTGTAGGTTCATACTTCCACATTTTTATATATGTAAATCCTAATGATGCATTAGATCTCCTCAGGTTGGGAATAACAATTGGATTCAGGCCAATGCTCTTTCTGTTTCACTGGTAAATATAAGCTAGGTGCATAAATCACTTTGCCTCTTGGTTGTATTACACTCATTCTTATAGCGTTAAATCAAGGGTAGAGAACCTGTGGCACCCAGATGTTGCTGGACTGTTACACTAATCATCCCAAAACAATGGACATGCTGCCTGGGGCTGCTGGGAGGTCAATCTCAACAATGTGTGGAACTAGGACACTATCACTGCTTTTAGTGGATAGTGTAGTGTGTATATGGGCAAACATGTAATCACAGCCAATTGCTGCTGCAGAGCTGTTTCTCCAACAATACAAAAAAACACAAGGAATCCATGTTGTCTCTCATGGCTGGGGCTGTCAGAATATTTGATCTCTCCATCAGGGTTGGTTAAAAGATTAGGAATAGCATAACTCAGGACAGAACAGATATAAAAGACTGAGACACAAACTCGTTTGTTACACACAGTTCAGAAGTTTTAACATTGATTTTCAGCTACTAACTGAAAGTTCATTTTGAAAGCTTTTAGAGAAGTTTATAGAAAATTCCAAACAAGATTTAAAAAAAGCCTTTTATGTTTTAGAAAGTAACAGACAACGTAACCATGGATTGTGGTCAATCATTTTGTCATTACTTCCAAGAATACTCTTATACATTATGTCAAGTATCAAAATACTAATTGAATAAGTTGTATATTTTAGTTTCCAGGAAAACTGAACAACTTTTTTAAAAAAAGAATCCTATTTCAGCTCTGTAAGCATTCTTTCATGCATTTACTCTTAATCCCTTAACTGCAATTTATATTTCCAACCTCAAAAAAACTAACATGTCATTTCTTACCTTTACCACTTGGGGTGGGGAGAATGACATTGTTATGAACCTATCTGGTTGCTAATTTAGGACAATCATGCAACATTGCTAATTCAAAAGAAGTGCTCTTTTGAAAATTTGTAAATATGTCAACAAAAGTTACTAGCCAGACAAGGCTTAACTGCCTCTGTTTCCACAGGAATGAAACACCCTTTGCAAGCATAGAAACATACACTACTAAGCTGCAACAAGCTTGTTTAATTCCGCTTCCCCAAAGATTTTCCTCTGCCAAGTGGGCT